CATGGCAACAGCTGCAGAGAGAGGGAGAGAGAGAGAGCGAGTGCAGATCTGTAGCTCTGCAGTGTGACTCCCCACACTGGTGCTCCACTTTCCATCTTTAATGTTCTATCCGACTAAAAATCACCACATCCAGGTTTTCACGTCGGGCAACACGCCTGAAGCTTTCATCCAGCGTGCATTTACATGCAGCCTGGTGCTGCCAGATCAGGCAGAGCCCAGGAGCCAGGCAGCAGCTAAAGGGCGTAGCATGTCAGCCACTCAGTAGCAAAACGTTGTGCTGAAGATTCAGATCGTGTCGGTCATTAGTGATGCTCCTAAGCAGCACAAAACCCACCGAGGAGTCAATCCTCCTCCCGCCCAGTTCCTGCGTCTATGTCTTTAAAACAAGTCCGACCCAGGACTTCAGATCCAAGTAGACACGCCGAACTTCCAGAGTGAAAGCAGACAATCGACAGCATGACAAGCGGAACGAATGTGAAAGGAATGCAGAGGTACCTTTTTCTTTGACCATGACCATTGGAATCCAGGTGAAGCTGCACCAGAAAACACAGAGGGTCCACCAACACAGGAGGTGCTAGAACATGCTGACACCAAAGACCAAGAGGCTAAAAATAAAGGGAGCAAAGAAACCAGAAGGAAAGAGAGGGAGAGAGAAGTCGGAGCTCCTGAAAACACAGCGACAGCGTGGGGTTTGCCTCCCGACTGCCTACTTTCCTCCCGTCCCTCCCGCCCCTCCCCTCTCTCAGCACCGTTGTGTCGACCGCGTCGTCACTGCAGCAACAGAGAGGTCGCTGCTGTTGGTGACCCCAAACAGTCAGAAATGTAGTTTTAAAGCATCAACAGAGAAGTTTCACCTGTTAAAATCCTTGTTTTAATTAAATATAAACTTTCTTCCTCTGCTTACATACGTAATGAAATATTATCTGTTATAGATCATATTTAGTTACGTATGTCTGTCAGCTTCATGGCTGCTTTCAGCAACACACTTATGATTACCGCTAATTTATTAAAAACATCACAAGCGTCATTTATTTTGAATGATTTTACTTTCACATCCAGTATTTGTGCTTCATCTTTAGACATAAGGAAGTTTTACATTTGTACAAAAATAAAATGTGTTTAAGATTAAATAAATATAATTGATTTGACTCTATTTTAGTTGCCTTGAGGTTATCCAGGCGTCCTAAACTCACTCCTGTTTCATGCAACTCCACACCACACTCTTCTAATCTTATTTTAATCCAGGTGTATCTTATTTTCATAAAGGCTGCGGAGCATCTTATCCAATTAAATCCATCACTCGAGTTTTCCTCCCAGATAAAGGTGACCTACGCAACGACGTACTCCTTGAAACAGCGTAAGGGTGCAGCCTCCCATACAGGGGCAGCTAAAGGGGAGGGGCCAGCAAGCTTTGACCCTCAGGCTGTGGGCGGAGCCTAAGCACAAGCTAACAATTTAGTTGTAATTAGCCATAAACCAAAGCATATGAATGCATTTAGCTTAAACTGAAAATATTTGCTTACACTAATATTTTCATGTCGGTGTGATTAAAAAAATAAAAATAATCAGAAAACATATTTTGTGAAATAGTTATATCTGAAACTAACTGAACACCGTTGTATCTAAAGTGACTACATATATATATATATATATATATATATATATATATATATATATACTATGTATACTATATATATTATTGTAATTATTCACCAACATTTGAAATTCTGGTAACGCCTCCTTTTACAGCCTCCTAATTACTACGTACTTACACGGTAATTACATAGTAAGTTAAAGTGTATTATTGTTTCTGAGTTCTTACAGTTATTACTATGTAACTCAGGTTCAATTTTAGTTTTTATTTTGTTAATCATTCCTAGTAAATACTGCTTTACACAATAACTACACTTTATTACAATTATACACTTTAATTACACAATAATACACTTTACTATGTAATTACCATTGAAGTACTTGGTAATTAGGGGACTGTAAAAGGAAGCATTACTGAAATTCTTGCAAAGGTGGCTCTCTAATAAAGCAGCTGGCCCCCTCTAATGTCAGTCTAGAACCACCCCTGCTCTCGCACAAATTTAGCCTGTTTGTTATTTTAATTAAAGTCTGCAAAGTCTTCTGACTTTTATTTCTTTAATAAAACCTCCTCAAAGCTCCGCCCCTTACAGACCAGCAGAGTCAACACTTAAAAGCACCCTTAGTTGCTTTTATAAGGAGGTTACCAGGAGCCGGTGTCGCCATTATGATTGGAGTAAAACAGACCGAGTCACCACCATGATCCTGAATGGTTTCACTTGCAGATTGTGAATGATCTCACCTTTCCCATCAGTTCACGAGAGGCTTAAAGTGGCCGTCTGAGGTGTCAGGGTCAGTAATCTCCATGAGCTTCGTATTAATATCTTCTCCAGATCCTCTAATCCAATAACTCAGAGCACAGAGCAGCTCTGTTTCTGCACACAGCAGCTCTTACGTCATTCATTCATCTCTTTGATGAACACATGAAAACACTCATGCTTCTCATCAACTCTGCAAATAAGCTCCTGCTCCTGCCAGGAAGCATAAGATTTGCTGCTAAAAAAAATAAGCACAACTGTTGTCTGCATGGAAACGTTTCAGGCAGGAGCAAAGTGGAGCCGAAGCATCTGACCCATCTGCACCTCTCTGTGGCTGGAGAGGAGGAACGGCGTGTCAGCAGCGCCGTCTTTGCATTTGTTGATGCAGCATCTCATCCTGCATGTGGAGAACGTTCAATGTGCAGGGGAGAAAACAGCGCCACCCTCTGGGTGCAACGTGCTTCTGCTTTCATCTATCTGGAGATTAACACGTTGGAGACACCAAGTCAAATAAAACCTTGGGAATTCCTCCGCCTTTTCCTTTACAGCTGGAAATGTGTTCAGCGGGAGGGAACCGTGTAAATTCTGTCTGGTCGAAACGTGCCTACGAGATCCCGTTACCGTCGACAACAAGAAGCCGGTCTGAGTTTATAAACGTGTTTATAACACGTTTGCCAGGACTCCCCATTGCTGGCCTACTCAGTAAAGTGCTGCTTTATAAGCACATAAACGCTGTCGTCATACAGTGAGGTATTAAGCTGAGGGAAACACAAAATGTGTTCTAAAGCTCAAGAAGGGAGGATGAAACACCATAAATCATGTGGATCTGGGAGTTTTCTGAGTGGAAAAAAAGAACACTAAAGGAAGAAGAGACCTCAGCGGACCTTCTGAACTCTGGAGGTCGACAGTGACTCGATAACGCCCCGTACCGAGTCACAGAACAGCGAGAAACCTTTTAAACAGCAACCAGAACACATCATCAGTTCTGGTCTGCAGCTGCTGTCTGTACACAGAAATGTGCTTTCCCACCAAAGACATTAGGTTAGGGAATTCTTTTTTTTTTTTTTTTTTTTTTTACAAAATTAGTCTTTTTTAAATGGTTTTGACTCAATCTTCTGTTTTTGATCTGGGAAGCAGATTTAGAAACATCCAGGTTCCCAAATTATTCTGGAAGAGCAGCAGGAACCTGCGGTTATTTCTGGAAGCTCTTTTGATCCCATGGACGTAATTTTGGGGGGGGGACAGGGGGGACATGTCCCCCCCACTTTTTCCAAAGTCAAGTTTTGACCCCTGCGCTTTTTACCATCCAAAAACAATATTACGCTATATTAAATTGACACTGGTTGAGCTCTAGGACCAAACGGAAAGCAATCGTTTGTGTTGAAGCCTGTTTCCCATTAGAGCATACTGTAAAGATACCCCCCCCCCTCATGTCCCCCCCACTTCTAAAGTGAAAATTACGTCCTTCCAGACAGGAAAAATCTACGAGGGTCCATTTCTGCTGTACGGAAGAAAAACGGTCACATAATATAATTATCAGCTTCAGAGTCAACAGTAATAACGCAAAGATTCATTCATCAGAAGCAGAAATATTAAGAGTTGTTAAAATTCATAATTATAGTTTTGAAAGTCAGAAATATGAGATAAAATTTCAGAAATATGTTTTAACATAATAAATGTAAGATAACAATTCATATTTATGAGCTTTAATGTCATAAATATGGGAAACTAATACTTTCAAAGTCATAATTGTGTCTGAGTCATAAATATATAAATGCATCATTTTAGCTTCCCGTCGTAAAAATCAGATACAAATTCATGCCTTAAAATTTTAGATATTTGAGAAATATTCATAAGTATAAGTTTTGAAATCATAAAGAAGGTACAACTTTCTAAATATACTTTTGAAGTCATAAATAAAATCCATAATTGTGACTTTTAACACCACAAGACTTTTGTTTGTCCTAACTGGTGAAAATGGGCTTCCATACCGCCAAACGACTGCAGATCATTTTGATCATAAACACTCTAAAGCCACTGTCTGCATCGATGCTTTGACCTGTTGGGAGGTCATGAAGACCCCCCCGGTCTCCCTGGCAACAGGTCCCAATCATACCTAAACTCAAAAACAGAAGGCATCAATCGTGAATCTTAATTACACGCAACGAAGAGTCAAAAACTGTTTCCTGCCATGTCTGGAATGGAGTCAAAGAAGACGTCAAATCTGAAAATCTCAGTTTGAGCCCCTGCCCATGCTTTAATCCTGATGTAAGCCACCCTGTTGCTCGGCCAAACGCAGCAGCTCAGTCCTTCCACACTGGCTTGCTTTACATAACTATAGGAAAAGCAGTAATTAATTCCCACTTTTCTGACATTGACAGTAAGAAGCTTTTATTTTCACGAGCCAAGAAAGAAGGGTTGCATAACCGCTGCAGAGAAGCTCTCACACATCAGACAGGACCACGATGAAGAGCTTCCTGAGGTGTAATCCCTCAGCATCATCCAATTTAGATGTTTCTAATCAGACAACAGGACGCAGGGTGGAAAAGACAAAGAGAGACAACCACAGACGCAAAGACAGCAAAAGGAAAATGAGGGAGGAACTTTTGAGGTTTGCGGTGGATGAAAAGGTGCTTCACACAGACTCTTTACCTGTAATGATGTCGTTCAGCCTCTCACTTAGATAATAGTCATTTGGGTTGAGGAAAGGGAGCTGCTCCATGTACTGTTTGGGAATGAGGTACAGGACCTCCGCCACATTTCCGTCTTCGATGATGGACATTCGCTTGACCGAGCTCTTGCGTTTCACCCGAACGCGGTTGATGCGGTTGACGCTGTGGCTGCGGTTGGAGCTGCACAGCTTCCCCAAGCTGTTGAGGCGGGGAAGAGTGGGCATGGTCCTCTGCTCTTCTTCAACTGTCACTCAGCACTGCAGGTGAAAGGCAGCCTGCCTCAGGCTCCGACCCGTGCCTGAAAGCCCTGTCCACACCTGGACATGAAGGCTCAAGGATGACGGATGTAGACGTAAGAGTCCGGTGAGCGTATTCACATCGTTCGATGAGGCCGCCGATTGTTTGAATCTCCTCTACCTGTCCATTCACATGTGCTGCCGATCCGAGATGGCTGAGGTCCACCTCAGGGTAGAGACACCAAACGGCAGGTATGATATGGCATTCCGCTGCAGGTGGAGCAGAGTGAAAGAAAGAAGCTTACTCTGAATGTCTTCAGCCCAGCCAGCCTGGCTCCTTAATCAGCTTAGGGCTGACGTTCAGCCCGATTATCTTCTGGGTGGGGGTTAGGTTGGTCTACGTCAGGTTCTTCCATTGTGTCATGAGATTCTCTGATTCCTTTGCATCACTGATGGGTCCAATTAAGAGCTAAGATTTGGTCAACACCTTCCAAACGCCTGTGGCTAATGATGTTTTTGCTGAATTTTACGTGTTTTTATTGGTCAACCCAAGGATCAGTTTAAGGCATCAAATGACCCTTGGTCTAGAGTCGGTGTGGAGTGGTAGCTGACCAAACCCAACCACCAGTAAGGGTCCTTCACCAACCAGTAGAGTAAAAACACATTCTATGTAAAAGTACATCAGTCTTCATAACGCCAGCAGGAACTTTCCATTATCCAGTGGAATTACACGGAATAGGAATAGGATTTCCTTGGACTGAATCCAATAACAAGACATGCTGAGTTTTTAATCTTCAGTCCGTCTAAACTGGGGGTTTACAAAATGTTCTCAGTTTTACAAGCACTCCCTCTTAAGTCAAATGTCACAAACACTTTCTTTGGAAAATTACGTCAAATTTATACTAATAACCCGACTGAGTGGGGGTGAACAGATAACTGAGACGGAGGGTGAATCTGGGCAAACACCGTCACAGTTTACTTTGTTTTGTTGCTTAAACTAGAAAAAACTAAGCATCACTGCGAGGGCATTGCTTTTTTTCCCCAGGTACCTAAAATATTTTGAGTTGATTGGACGAGCAATTTTAATTTAATAAACTTCAAATGTATGAGTAAAATTTATTAAGAAATTTAATTTATGAAAACTTAAAATTTTCAGTATCAAAACTCAAAAAAATTGAGGCAATTGATTGCCTCAAAATTTTTGAGTTCTGGCAACTTATTCGGGTTTACAGTGTACAGTTGGACTGCTAAAATAAAACAGACGATCCTCTCTGACATTATGGCTTCTTCCAGACTCGGTTAATCCCATTTTAAATCCATCAAAAGACATGAATCAAAGCAAAGCAGACATGTTGGAAATGATAAATACATTTGTTTGAAGGAATGGCCCGCAGCCTTTTAATGACAGAGTTTTAAACTAGCACCATGTTCTTCTGAGAGTTGGAGATCGAGCCAGAATTCTCAAAGCTTGAAAACAACATCATGGACAATCCGAGAATTTGTTAACGACTCTCGGCTGCTAATGTCAAATTTTAGACCAATGTAGACGAAACTGGCCGAGTTGACACCATTTGTGTCCATATTCAGAGACAGCAATCTTTGTAAGGACACGTCCTACCCAGTCCACGCAGGTTCGGTCCGTCCTCAACCGCTAAGGCCACAAGTGAGCGGTTGGTCTCGCCTTCATATTTATTGCCGCCTCTACCTCAGCATACACTCCGTCGTTGCCTAGCAGCCGTGGCAGCCTCAGACAGAGGTTAAAACTAAACTTAGCAGTAATAAATGATGAAATAGCGGACCTGCCATATGAACTCGTTTACGAGGATTTTACTTATTAACTTTGGCAAACGACAACAAATCCTAACAGCTTTTAACCTGTACAGACTTGCCTTTAAAACTAATCTACCTTGCTTTGTCGGCCGTTGTTACAGGAAGAAAAACTCCAGTTAGGCCCGGATTTAATCCAGGAATATTGTTATAAGGATACATTGAATTCGGGGAAAGTAGACATTTTGAGTAGCCTTCGAGTTTCAGCAGCATTGTCACTTAGTTGTGACGTAATTGATTCTTAAAACGCGCCACCGACTTTGGACATCGTCGTCGATGAGCTGTGGAGATCATCTTCAATCAAGTTGACGCCAAAGGAGAAAAGAACAGAAAATCCCTTTATTGCCCCTCAGTGAGGGAATTTGGCGTCACGGCAGCAATTCAACTCATTATAGGAAAAAAAATTAAATAAAATAGGAATAAAAAGTTTGCAATAAAAATATACCACGCAAAAATACTCGAAGAATAAAAATTAAAAATGCTGAGTATGTACACAATTTTAGAAATAAGCTAGTTGAAGATAAATAACATTGGAAAGGCTGAAATAATACCTCAACTGAAGCCACAAATCCCAAATGAGCTAAAAACGCAAGAAGCGTGGGTGCAGAGCGGGAGCAAAACGGAGACAGAGAAAGAGGAAATTCAAATCATCTCTTCCATCGATCATAATGGGCAATGTGAGATCACTGGCCAACAAGATGGAGGAACTCCAAGCCCTTTCAAGGACTCAGCCAGAGTTTCGGCAGTTTTGGAACCGCTGGAGGAGATGATGCAAAGAAGGATTCTCCAGAGAATCAAGAAAATGATGGACAACCCTGAGCGTTCTCTTCACAAGACTGTCCGACAACGGAAGAATGTCTTCAGTCAGAGGCTTCTTCAGTTTGGCTGCAACACTGACCGCTACTGGAGATCCTTCCTGCCAACAGCCATTGTAATATACAACAACTCTTTGATGACTTGATTATTATTATTATTCTGAGCTACTACAGCAATCGATTTCCCTCTGGGATTAATAAAGTATTTTTGAATTGAATTGAATTGAATAAAATAATAGTTTGAGATATTTTGCAAATAACAAAAGGCAAAAACATCACTTTACCACCACCTTTTGGCAGGGAAAGATAATGAACGGGGTCTACTTGGCTTGAAGACATCTGCACACATTTCTCTCTGTCTAAGAAGCTAGCAAGAGCTACTCATGCTAAGTTTACTAGCCTTTGATTTAGCACTGGTTCTGTTTAAATCACACCTTTGCTCAGAAAGCCAGATCTCACTGATGGGGAGGTAAACCAAAAACAGCTCAACTTTTTGCTTCTTGAGGGCAGCTTGGGACACGGTACGCCATGCAACCTCCAGCTCTGTCAAAACTACCCTCACACTTACAAAACATCTCAAACATGCAGAGAAGAAAACCACCGATATTGCTGCATGGTCAAAACAGTTCACACCAGGTGCACCTCAGATCATAAAAAGCATCTTAGCCTCCTTCTCCATCCACCTCCCTTCTTCATCTTACCATCCAGCCCGAAACAGGAGGTGATCTTTTGGGCGTAGTTGCAGAGCCCATCGTAGCCTGGCTCCTGCCTCGGTGCATCCCTCTCCCCCATCTCTCCACAATCCCAAACACACCGTCCTGCACAGCAGAGCCTTGACTCCTTCCACCGGTCTTCAATTATTCAAGCTTTTGCCAGGACATATGCGCGTGCACGCCACTCTTATTCGCACATTTACAAACACATGCACAGGCGGGGAGAAAACTGCTGAGGAAGAGGGTTGTGCTATTTTGCAGCATGAGCAAGCCCTCTCCAGTGCAAGGAAAAGGAGAGGAGGGGGGGATATCAGATTGGATTACTGCAGAATAGAGCCATGCCTTTTATTTTTTTCCATATCTGCCATTGATCTTCTAGATTTGCCTGCACTGGAACGGGTACGCTGGACAGGATGTTCAGCCTCTGCTCGGAGAAAGGGCAGACGAGGAAGAGCGTCAAGGAAAATGGACACACTGTGGGAGGAGGGGACGGATGGTTTAGGATCAATATCGATGCCCAGACCTCATTAAATGATAAATGATAAATGACCCGCACTTGTGTAGCGCCTCTCAGAGTAAGGACTCCAAAGCGCTTTACACTACAGTGTATCATTCATCCATTCACACACTGGTAGTGATGAGCTACGATGTAGCCACAGCTGCCCTGGGGCGCACTGACCGAGGCGAGGCTGCCGAGCACAGGCACCACCGGTCCCTCCGACCACCACCAGCAGGCAAGGGGGGGTTAAGTGTCTTGCCCAAGGACACAACAGCAGAATTCTCTGTCCGGAGCCGGGATCGAACCTGCAACCTTCCGATTACTAGACAACCCGCTCAACCTGTTGAGCTACTGCTGCCCCATTACCAAAGATTCTGACAAAATTAATGACATAATGAAGATGGCCATGCATCCTTAAAAGCAACACTACAGGCTATTCCTTTAAAAGTGGGTTCAAGTGTTTAGATGTAGAAACCTTACCAACTAAACATTAGACAGCCCTCTGCTGACCAAAAAACACACTCAACTGTTTTGGGGGATGGGTAGGTGCTCTAGGAGGAGGGCTCTACCTGCCCTACCTGTTAGCGGTTTAGTCTGCCAATAGCTAATAAAAAGGGTGCGCAGTTAGCTTTTTCAGTTTGAACAAAAAGCACAAGAAGAAAAAAGTTTGTGTTTTTATTGGCGCCATGGCGGAGCCTGGAAGGAAAAGTAAGAAGGTATGTCATTGGAGGTGGATCAATAAGCTAAAACTAGAGTGAACATCGGTGCGGCCTACGCTAGTTTGAGGGAGCTAAAGGAGGCTACAAAATCAGACTGATGATGACCTGGCTTTGTTGCTACTTGACTTGAAAGTAATATCTTTTGTCCATGAGTGTGGATCTTTTTACTTTGTGGCACGTTTAGTATCAGCTGGCTCGTGCTAGTGTTAGCTTGTTGTCAGTGCTAGCCAGCAGGCTGCAACAGAGTTGTTTATGGCAGTTTTAATTCTGCTGTCAACCAGTAGAAGAAACTTGAGACATATTAATGTGGCTTTAAAGGGAGACTAGGCAGTTTTGGCTTGCTTTTAGCACCCCCTAGTGTCTGTTTAGTAGAACCAAAAGCAAAACCTTTCTCCTCGCCGTGCATTCGTGTTTTTAACACATCAATCTAACAGCTGAAACGTCTCCCCAGTCTTCCTTAGTGTCTACAGGAGCGGTTAGTCACTAAATTAAACAAATCGGCTGTGTTCACGATCAAAAACATGCTGGAAACGTTCTGGAAGCAGACTGCAGCGCCAGGTATGTCAGCTCCGTTTTTATCTAAGTCAAACAGACCGGACTGGCAAATATGAAGTTGCAAACGAAATATTCTGGCCACAGGCGATAGGGTGGCTTTCATTAACCCTGTCAGGGGTCATTTTAGCACACACTGGCTCAAGAAAAGGATTTAAAAAATACGAGGAAATTGTGTGATGTCTCTTTAAAGAACAAGTCACCCCCAAATGAACTTTTTTCCTGATAAACTACATAAATGCGTGTCTAATCGTGCTGCAGACACATGTAGTCAATAGTTTTGCACTTTAGTGCATTTTTGTAGAAATTTTAATATTCTGCCTAAAACTGTCAATGTTGTGCCGTTGTCAGGTAAACACTCTGCACTGCATTTGAATTTAAATCTGCCATCGCTATTGGCTAAGAGGTACCCTAGAACGTTAGCTGGTACCATATGATGTCACAATATCATTGTGAGCCTGTGTGTGTGTGTGTGTGTGTGTGTGTGTGTGTGTGTGTGTGTGTGTGTGTGTGTGTGTGTGTGTGTGTGTGTGTGTATTTGTTAGCGGCTCGGCCCTCTTGGTCTGCCAGGCAACAGCATTTGTTGCATTTTTCAAACAGGACGTGGGAGTTGAGTAAGAAACTGGTAGGGGGTGACTTGCTCTTTAAAGGAAAGCCCATCACAGAGGTTGTTTGTCTTACAGTGAGAATAAACAGTAAATGACTATTTGGGTGTTCCATGCAGTCTCAAAATTTCCTGCAAAGGCTCAGTAAATATGCTGTGGAAGACTCTCAACTAACAAACCAAGTGTCAGTTTCATTCCCCCACAAAAGGTTGGAAATGTCATAACTTTGGTAGATTTTTAGTTAATTTGCCAGCAAGTCTAAAAGGTGTTAGAAGCAGCAAAAATGACCTTCAGCAATACTTCACGCTGGAGCAGAACTCCTCATTACTGGGATGCATACCGAGCTGCACAGGAACGATCGCTATGATGAAAAATGAAAAGGACACAATAGAAAAACGGCGTGAGAAATACCAGGAGCCGGAAAAGTCCAGACAGAGCAGCGCGCCCTCAAGGATGCATTACTGGTCGGAGCGACTAATGGAAAGGCATCAAGGTAAAAGCTGACGGCCTTGAGCTGATAACGGTGTGTGTGTGTGGGGGGGGGGGGGGGGGGGGGGCATGGTAATGGTGCCGATGTTCTTTGGACCAATGTTTGGGAATCTGATAGTGAGGAATGCTACTGGGATGGGAAGATTAGTGGTTACAAACATTTATTTTAGATTCAGTCAGTCAGTCCAGAAGTGGTTTGAAATCCAAGACAAAATATAAAAACTGAGATAGAAAAGTAAAAAATGGCAGCCAGTTTAAGTAGAGATGCTCGAGAATGGGTAAATAATATATAAATCACTAAGTTCACACAAAGTGAGGCAGAATGAGGTCATGGAATCAGATCAGAGCCTGCCACCATCGCTGGTAAAATCATAAAAGTCACATTTAAACAAGAATTTATGTCAACAAAAACAACCAAGCCTCTATTTTATTCATTTATGACAATACACTTAAATCTAACTAAAACAACCTAAACGTAATTATTTATCTACTTGGAGACCTGGACCCGTTTGGTGGTTCGTGACTCAAAACGGGGTCCTGACCTCAACTTTAGGAACAAAAATACAAAAGAACGAGAAGAACTTTTTTTTCTGGTTAAAATTCCTTCAGTGAAAGACCGAAAATGTCCCTAGAAATCCTCAAAATGAAAAATGCCTCCTCCACATGCCATAAGATTACTAACATGCAGAGGCGTTCCGTATTTGTGCGTCTTGTCTTACGCCATGAAACGTGGGTACGTTCAGCCCTAACTGATCCTTAAAGCCGTACCCTGCGCTCTTGTCCACGTAGAACGTTGTTTGCATGATTTTCTGTCAGCAGGGACTTAACTGTGCTCATCAGCTCAGCAGCGTGTGCTCCAGTGGCTCAGAGCTCAGCTGACCATCAACCGCCACAGAGGACAGATACAGTCGGCCTCGTCGTTAAAGGATGGAGCTCAAGGTCGCCTGCCATCTCGGACTCAACCACGCTGGTGTTGAGTCATTTCCTGGGCAGGAAACAAGTCCAGGCTGCAGAATCGAATCCACGAGGGTAAACCGAGCAGCGTGAGCTGGGAGTTGACTTTTTTAGATGGACTGGAGTGGAAACGAGAGAAGCCTTTAGCCAACATACAACATCTGATCCTTTTTGGCCGGGTCCCCAACTGAACGAAACCAATTAAAACAACAAATCTACGCATAGTTGTAAACATTTTCATCCCAAAACAAATACAACTCTTCTGTTTAAGTGGAATTCAATGCTTAAATTCTGAATAACTAATGAGCATCGGAGCCGAGACTTCAGAGCTAGCTTCGGGGAAAGGCCTCGGGCTCACGTTCTTAGATGTTTGGCCATTTTGACTCTCTGAACGTTAGTCGTGTCCTCTGAATGTTTTACTTGGACAAAGAAGGCAAGCTGTGATTATTCAGGGCAGCAGTAGCTCAACAGGTTGAGCGGGTTGTCCAGTTATCAGAAGGTTGCAGGTTTGATCCCGGCTCCGGACAGAGAATTCTGCTGTTGTGTCCTTGGGCAAGACACCTAACCCAACTTGCCTGCTGGTGGTGGTCGGAGGGACTGGTGGCGCCTGTGCTCAGCAGCCTCGCCTCTGTCAGTGCGCCCCAGGGCAGCTGTAGCTGCATCGTAGCTCATCACCACCAGTGTGTGAATGGATGAATGATACACTGTAGTGTAAAGCGCTTTGGAGTCCTTCCTCTGAGAGGCTCTATACAAGTGCGGATCATTTATCATTAATCATATTGACTGCACTAACAGTTCATCCAAGCGGTTTCTGCTTCTTTTTATCGGTAAGTAAAATTATACTTCCCTACTTTATTTCGCTGGTTGAATGGGAGAATGCTGAGTCATTTAACTGCTTGGTCAAACAGGTTAGTGGGGCTGCATGAGGAACTTGAGCGGGTGCCCGGCTTCTCCTGCCCGGGACGCGTGGACCGGCTCTGAGGTCAGGCTAGTCGTGCTGGTCACTTGTGGATCTCTGATGGAGACCACGGAAACACAGCTGCTTCACTTTGAATCGCTCAGCCGCATTTTAGGAGCGTCAACTCGGCTCTTGGCTTCGTGTCGACACAGCGCCGGTAGCCGAGTCGACGCTCCGAGAGCTGGGATCGGCGACAGCGGCGGACTCGCGAATTTTTGACTGCTGGACCAGCGAAGCCCGATATCCACAGTCAGCTTACCTGGTTATGATTTTGTTATTAAGCAGGCCGGAGGTGCCTTCACTTTGGAGTTGCTCTACCGTGTTTTTCTTGCTAAAAATGCCCGGAAAACTGTTAGCTTCAGGTTAGCATATAGCTAATGTCCTGCCGATCTCCACCTGTGAAGCATGAGCTGACGTAAAAGGCTACGGCTACGATCGAGGGCAACCCGGGTCCCACCTGAGCCCTTCTTATCTTCTTGGATTAGCCAAGTTAGCTGGTAGCTACATTGGTTCCAACCCTGTCCCAAACCTAACAGCCCCACCCTCAGCTCCACCTCTTTCCCATTTTGGATTGTTTGGGCGTGACGAGACGTGTGACACGTAAAGAAAAAAATCAGTGATGGGAATCTACTGTTTTTGGCTTCTACCCGCCCCCGCGGAACAACGGGCGGGTCGTGTCCATATTTTTTATGTCGATGGTCTCAACCCAGATGTGAAAGCACCATTAGGGACAATTTAGAGTGTCCTGCTTGTTTTTAGTCTTTGGGACAGGGGTGGTTAAAGGGGGTACGAGGTTGGGCTGGGGCAAGCCTTGCCCCCCCCCCCCCCCCCAAAAAAAAAAGCTGTTTCATCTAAAGTACCTGTAACTGACTTGGTGTTATAATTTTGGAATTACCCACTAAATTGTGAAATACTCAAAGGCATGTTGTGTTTTCTTACAAAGGTGCCCCTCTAACAGAGCAGCTGGCCCCTTTAATGTTAGTCTAAAACCACCCCTGCACCAAGCAGCCTCTGATCCCAGGCTCCTAAATTAGTTTTTCAGATTAATTTTTTAATGGAGGCCATTAATGCATCGCCGCCAAGAAGAAATAGAAAAAAAATCCAACATGTTCTGGTCAGTGAACTCACCATCCCTCAATCCCAGCATCTTCAGATCTTGTGGAAGTTTTTAACCTCCAAGATCATCATTTCAAGTTAATTAGAAAATTCAGGTAATTATTGTTTTTTGAGCTGATGAACAAGAATCAGAAATCAGCATCAGGCATCAAAACCAGAATATCTCTTAATTTCTAAGCGACACAAGTGCAGCCAGGTCACAGGGTGCATTTCTACTAGCAAAAAATAAATAAATAAATAAAAGGACATTTTAATCACCTGACATCACCAGCTAGCAGATAGAGATCATCCCATTTTAATATCATTTAATAGTGAGCAGCTCTTAAATAATGAAAAAAAAAACGATAAACGTGATCATAAGCAGGTTTATCATCAATCTTTTAATATAAAAAGTTAAATATAATAAATTCGCAGGTTATAATAAGTTCCCTGCAGGCTGCAGCAGTGGACGGTGTATCCGCTCTGCACAGCTGTTTAACCTACTTCCCACAGACGACGCAGAAAAGAGGCTCTGGCTCCCAGCAGCCAGGAAGCTCTGAGATGAGGACCCCTTCTCCTCCGGATGCGTTGAAATGAAGGCTTTGCGGCAAAGACACTCACCTCTAGCCGACATGCCCGGTAGGTAGAGCCTCTCTCTCTTTGATTGTCAGGAGAAGCAACCGCGGTGCAGCTAAGAAACAGGAGGGAAATACCCAATTATACGCGCATCCAGGCCTTTTTATGGATAAAACACGGAAAACATCATGAGATCTGGGAGAATGCGCGATGGATATGCCAGCGCCAGGGCGTGTCCTAACAGTCAGCATCCCTGTTTAACAAGTTTCTCTGCACATCTGAACGCACGGTTACATATTTACACCTATATCCGTTTTTTTTAATTCCTCGCCTGCATCTGGCTCACCTAAGTCCGCTCCTGGTCTGTCCGGGACGAATGCGCTCTGCTGGAACTAGCGGTAGTTAAATCACAAAGTTGACAGGCTGGTTTTCATTTCCCCTCACTGCCGTGGCTCCTTTAGAAGGAACTCACCTGGCTGCAGCTTCAAACTCAAAAAGCTGCGACACTAAGGGAGAAACCAGGAAGTCACACGTTTCAACCAAATGATAAAAAATCTATGGACCTTAAGAGCTAAAATAATATAATTATTGTTTCAACGAGCCACGTATTTAGTTTGGGAACATTCACCTAAACTGACGCGAGCCCTCCAGCGGCTCTTCATTATCATGCAATCACCGTTGTGAAGAGTGCCAGCGCCCCCTGGTGGTGTGGTTCGGTAGCGTTTGGCGAGGGAAGTGCCACCGTGTCCAGGGAGAAGCTAAGCTACATTTAGCAGCAGACGTCTTGTTTACACTGCTGGGAACTACCAGGCCTGTAAAGTCATCAGGCAGGCCAGCAGCGTGCTGCGAGTTTATTGCCGCTCACGTTTATTCTCTCGTTGCAAGGTTCACTATATGAAACCTCCAATCTGGAGCGGGGCGGCAGCAACAGAAAGAAGATAGAGGAATTCTCTAGGTCTTCTCGGGAGAAACTGGTCCAGTCGAAGAACAAAATGTTCTCCAAATTCACCTCGATTCTCCAGCACGCGGTGGAAGCGGTGAGTTTGTCTTATGGTTAACTCGTTTCTGACTCTTGTATCCGTTTACGTGTCCTAAATATTGGATTAAATCGCCTTTGTTGCATGGAGGTATAACGTCAGCATTAGGTTGCTAACTAGCAAGCTGACAAATGAGTATAGTCATTAGCTTGTTTCCCCCGCTTGGCATATACTTTCACAGTTTATTATATTTGTTTTTTTTTCTTTGCAATACTTGAGACTGATCTTTATTCAATGGCATGGTTTTTACGTTTAAGCGAGCTTTAAGTTAGCCAGACACAGCTAAGCTAGCCTGAAGAGGCTAAGCTATCCAGTTTCTAACAGCAGCTTCTTAAGATGGTGTCAAAATGTTTGCACAGCTTGTTAAACGTTGCGCAAACGTGCAGTTCTAAATATTAAACGTATATTTTAAGACCCGTTTTGGGATTTTGTAAATCCTGAAGCGGTTATTAGCCGGCTAGCTAGCTACGTTACAATTTCTGAGTTTCTGTCCAAACATTTGTCAAGCTTTTCCCGGTTTGTTTACTAATGAGGCCTGAATCCAGTCTCCCTAGTCCTCACGTCCTCCCTGTGCTACACGTGTCCCTGTTAACACACCTGGTTTACGTAGGTTAATGACCCCTGTCATGAGTCGGGTGTGGCTGTTTCCAGAAACCAAAACAAACCCAGCTGTATCCATCCACATTAACCACTACTACCTGGAGGCTTCTCACCGTGATCACTGCTCGGCAGTTATTTATATCTAATATTTAAAACCTGACAGGAAATATCTGATAAAAGTTGTAAAATAAAGTCCCTGAAAACAGAGTCAAATATTTTAATAGTTCTTTGTCAGACAAAAACATTTTTAGCATGTTTGCTTGCCATCAGCACCGTTCAGGGTTCTTATGGATGCTTAAGATCCTTGAACACGAGTTAATTTTGAATAAAGTGCTCGAAACTGTAGCTGAAATACGTTTAGCACTGTATTATTGACTTCCAGTGAGCAGGTGTGTGTAAAAGTTTTGTTTTAAGTTGGGCCCGACCGATATATCAGTCGGTATCGACTATCGCCAAAAAGACGGCGATATGGTCGATATTGCGCTACCTATCCAGCAGATGGCGCCAGCTTTATGAACTCATGTTGTGTGGCTCCACTACTTTGAACTTTGGACACAAATTATTGTTTTGGAACTTTTTTTTATTTTTATTTATTCTTATTTATGTTTCTAATATGTGCAGTTATTTCCTGTCCGGGGTGCAAAAGTTCACCAAGTTAACTTCCACAGAGTGTTACTTTGTTACAAAGCACAAGTGTTACGTTTTATTTATCGCTGCATTTTTATTATTTTAATATTCTTACAGGGATCTTCTGTCCCTAAACGTGTGTGTGTTGTTAGATTCCCCAGAGTTAGCTAAGACAGGAAAAACATGTTGTAGCCAGATGTTTTAGCATAAAGCAATGGAAGGGAAGGCTTGCATTCACCTACATATAAAACACTATAATGTATGTGAATTCGCTTACATTGTTTTATGCTAAACTAAGAAACCCACCTGCTGCCAGGTCATATCGGGCTGGTTATAAAATGCTTTAACTCTGGGGGATCTTAACCAGACACAGTTTACTGAGTGGTGGAATATTCCTTTAAGTTAAAATGTATTTGTGGAAATCACCGTTTACAAGGAAAAACTGGAATGTTAGATTTATGCCGTGGCTGAGTTTGTGTGTTCTGTTGTTTTTGAGATCTGCTAAATAAATCTTATTTGCTTTACTTGGAAACCCGAGTGAGTTATGGAGACAGTTCTTTGGTGTGTAATACAGAAATAAGTTTGCATCAAAAAGGCAGAGAATGAAGGGTTTAAGCTTAAGAAAATTTTATTTCTTTTTTTGTGAGGGAGATTTATCGGCTATCGGCCTTTGTTAAAAGTTTTATATCGGTATCGGTCCCAAAAAAAGCATATTGGTCGGGCCCTAGTTTTAAGAGACCACGTCTTTAATATTCAGGACACCTTGGAGGCTAGCCACCCGCTAAAGCTCTGCATCAGAGACGACGTTTTGTGTAAACGACCAAAGCAGGGAGCTGGAAAACGTTGAAAGTGCTTGAATTTGGCAAACATGTACAAACCCCGGTAATTATACGTGCTCTATTCTCCTCTTTCAGCTCGCCCCATCTCTGCCCTTGCAGGAGGACTTTGTCTACCACTGGAAGGCCATCACACACTATTACATTGAGACCTCAGGTATTTAGAGAGAGTGGTGTGACCTGTTATGACCCTGAAATCTATAGAAAGATGAAATTTGGTGTCATTCTTTCATTGTTGCCATGTTTGTTTGTAACACGGCCATGCTAGCTAGCAGTGCCAGCTCTCAAGTTTTGGTGTTTTCTGTGGTTTTGCGCGTCTTTGTGTCAGATGACAAAGCCCCGGTCACAGACACCAACATCCCATCCCACCTGGAACAGATGCTGGACATCCTGACCCAGGAGGAGGCGGAAAGGGAGTCTGGGGAAACGGGACCCTGCATGGAATACCTCCTACACCACAAGATCCTGGAGACGCTCTACACGTTGGGCAAAGCAGATGTAAGAGTCCCGTCTGGTCAGCTGCTGGTGAGGGAATTCCTTCTCAGGCAATGAAATGTGTTAATACGATTTCTCGTCAGTGTCCTCCAGGCATGAAGCAGCAAGTTCTTACCTTTTACACAAAGCTGCTAGCACACATTCGCCAGCCGCTCCTGCCACACATCAACGTCCACAGACCTGTACAGGTGAGCTGTAGGTGTCGTTTTTGAAGCGCGTGGCATGAAAGTTTTAACTGAGAAGATGTCCAACTTGCAGAAATTGGTCCGTCTGTGTGGCGAGGTTCTGGCTGCACCTACGGAAAACGAGGAGATCCAGTTCCTCTGTATCGTCTGTGCCAAGCTAAAGCAGGACCCGTATCTGGTCAACTTCTTCCTGGAGGTGGGATGTCATGACTCCCGAGAGGGAGATGAGGGCTTCGGACAAATACCTTTAAAAACATTTTTATGGTTCTTTTTTTTTTTTTTAGAACAAATCAAAGAGAGCCGAGACAAAAGGCCCCGCTGCGACGGAGGAGAGCGTCGTAGCTCCGGACACGGGCCAGTCTCCGGCGGACGAGCCAGTAGCTGCAGCTGCTGCTTCCTCCTCCAGTCCAACAAGAAACCACAACAACAACAATTACAACCTGGTCACCTCCTTACTCAACCTCACAAAGAGTCCCGTAAGTTAACGGGCGTTCTGTTAAAGCCTGATAGTCACTGGTGTGAACGTGCTGTTCTCCTCCACCCAGGACGGCAGGATCGTGGTGAAGGCTTGTGAAGGTTTGATGCTCCTGGTCAGTCTGCCTGAACCTGCTGCCGCCAAGTGTCTGACGGAAAACACGGAGCTGTGCGAGCTTCTCACCCACAGACTCGTCTCCTTCTACAAGGCGCTGCCGCCGTCCATGGACCCTCTGGACATAGAGACAGTGGAGTCGGTCAACTGGGGGTAAATGTCTCCAGCGTGAAGTCCTTATGGAGCGGAGACGAGCCGGAATGGTTGAATAATGGAAAAAATAAATGCTTGTCAGATTCTGAATTGGAAAAAAATTCAAACTACATTTATTCTGCAGCTTGGAATAAAAGTTTCCATTCAGTTTTTAAGTTTTATAATTAGGATTTTTGTTGGTGTCAGGTTCAAATATGAAAAAAATACATTTTAAACTGAAATGATTAGAAACTTTTTCAAGCTAAAAAGTAGTTTCACTTCTTCTTTTGAATTCATCTTTTTGTTATTTTTTACCCAGAATGGGATCGGCCGATATACCGGGCAGACATTTACCGGTTTTTGTGCATCTGCAGGCAGACTCTTCAGCAGAGCCGATTTAAAGTCGGGCACATCTTCATGCAGCGTGGTGCTGCCGCAGAAGCGTATCCACGTGTCCGTTAACGTTCCCGATAAACATCAGCTTCAAAAACTAACTGAACTAGGGTTCAGTAGTTGGTTGTTGTGAGTGATGATCTAACGTAAACGAGGCAGGAATATCGCCATCGGCGATAGAAGAACTCATATCGGTCGTTTCAGTATTCTGGCTCCGTTTCACCTCCTTAACTTTTTTTTTATGCAAGTTTTTCACATCAAGGATAACTTTCAGCTGAAAAATGACCCGATTAACACACGAGACTCGCCTCTAAGGAGCTGTCCTGTCTTGTAGTCTAGATGTTTATAACCTGAAGGAGGACGCCGCCGTCTTCACCGGGAAGCGGGCGCTCATCTCCTTCCTGTCGTGGCTGGATTACTGCGACCAGCTCATCAAAGAAGCTCAGAAGGTTCTGACTCATCTCGTACGACGAGAGTTTAGAACCCACAGAAAGCTTCAGCTCTTGTTTTTCCTCCCGTCTTCCAGTCAGCAGCCGCGGCGATGGCCAGAGCTGTGAGCGAACGCTTCTTTGTGTCCGTGATGGAGCCTCAGCTGATGCAGACGTGAGTCTCGTTCTGAGTCACACATCAATCATCTGTCATCCTTTTACCAAGTGGCTTGTGCTTGTGTAGATCCGAGGTGGGAATCTTGACCTCCACGGCGCTGCTGAACCGGATCATACGGCAGGTGACGTCGGAGGCGCTGCTGCAGGAGATTGTTTACTTCCTGCTGGGGGAGGAGAAGGAAGCAGAATCTCCGGCTACGCTCACCAAGAATCCACTCCGGCACAGACTCATCGAGCACTGTGATCATCTCTCAGACGAGGTTCTCTCTAATTCCCTCGTTTTCCTGTTGTTATATAAACGCTCGTAGCTGCTCTTACTCAAGAGGAATCTAAGGAGATTATCTGAATGACCCGAGGAACAGCCATCGTGGTTGAACAGAACGCTTTTATGACACAAAAGATGGCCGAGTCATCCCTTTGTTCTGGTATCTGCTGCCTGCTTTTCTGTCGGTGAGCTGGAGGACGCTCACTCCTCCGTTCCTCCCTCGCTGTTCCCAGATCAGCATCATGACGCTGCGCCTGTTTGAGCAGCTGATCCAGAAGCCCCACCGGCACGTCCTCCTCAGCCTGGCGCTGCGGAACCTGGAGGAGCGGAACTACCTGGAGAACAAACCCCAGGAGGAGCGGGAGCCGCTGGAGAACGGGCAGCCTCACGATGCCGTGTAAGGACCCGAGCATTCTGGGATACGTCAGCTGCTGTTTCCAAAGTCACTGAGGCCCTGTCCACACGTCGCCGGGGATCTGCCAAAACGTAGATATTTTTCTACGTTTAGGCCTGTCATCCACACGAAAACGGAGTTTTTTCACACGAAAACGGATCTTTTTAAAAACTCCGGCCAAAGTGAAGATCTGCGTTTTCTCCGTTTTGGGTGTCTGCGTGTGGACGGACAAAACCGGAGTTTTAAGGTCCGCAACGTCACTTTCCGCGACAAAACAATGCTGACATCACGTGTGCGACCTGTGTTTACACTAGCCGACAGCATGGATGCCTTCAGAGCTGCACTCTGTCACTACCCGATCCATCAATTGTCCAAGCGCTTTCTGCTTGTTTGTTTTTGCAAGAGGAATTACTGCTCCTTGCGGAAGACCACAGACGAAGGACGAGGTTAAGAACGGGGGAAGTACTGCCGCCTACAGGTCTGGCATGTCCTTAACAACGTATTTATCCGGGTACGCGGACAGTTTTTTTTTTAAAACGAGGTGGTGTGGATGCAAGTTTTTGGAGGGGCGGATATTCGCTTTTAAAAAAACCCGGCTACGTGTGGACTCGGCCTGAGACTCACGTTCTGAAGGGATTTTTACCTGATTCTTTTGGAAAAACACGAATTGGCACCAAGTTTGTGATTTTATAAACACCCACGTTAAATAAATATTCCATTAGAACTAACCGTGTCCTCCCACAGAGACCTGGAGGAGGATCCGCTCTTCGGAGACGACCCCTCTCCAGACACCAGGTTGTCTGGTTCCGACTGGCTCAGCTCCTCTCCGCCTCTCAGTCCGGATCACTCCAGGTCCGACGGGAAGACCGAGGTCCACAAGATCGTCAACAGGTGCCACATCCCTTCGGCGGGTTGCAGGTGCTGGTTCCCACTGGTTCTAACTGGTTTTGTTTACAGCTTCCTGTGTTTGGTGCCCGACGAGGCCAAGTCATCGTATCAGGTAGAAGGGACGGGATACGACACCTACCTCAGAGACGCTCACAGACAGGTGAGCTGCTGCTGAAGGGATTCACACCTGTTGGTGTTCTTCTGTGAACTCGGCCGCCGGTTGTTTCTGGTTTCCTCAGTTCAGAGACTACTGCGGCGTGTGCCAGCGCTGGGACTGGAGAGGAAATCCCAAACCTCTAGAGAAATGCGACTTGGACCTGCCGTTCTTCGAAGGTCACTTCCTCAAGGTTCTCTTCGACAGGATGGGGCGCATCTTGGATCAGGTGAGTCGTCAACTACCAATCAGCTGATTGATTTCCACTTTGTTACGAAGACCTCGTCAGCTTCTCTGCAGCGTTCATAACCGAGTCTTCCGTCCTCCAGCCCTACGACGTTAACCTGCAGGTAACGTCCGTTCTGTCCAAGCTGTCTTTACTACCGCACCCCCACTTACACGAATACCTGCTGGACCCGTACATCAACCTGGCCCCCGGCTGCAGGTCGCTGTTCTCTGTCATCGTCAGGGTAAGTCTCCCAACCAGCAGCAGGACAACGGCTCTAATATGTTATGGTCCGTCTCGGGGAACCGTTCAGGTTTCTGACCCCGGCGTGCCACCGGATGCGTAAGCGTAGTTGTTGACGGGTCTTCCCCGTGAGCTCAGCGGCACGTCGTTGCAGATGAGCTGCGTTCCACGCAGCTGGTTTTGCGACGTCCCCAAATAACCACAGGGTATCCGCGGGTCCTTAACGTCTTAAAAAGTCTTAAATTTACTTTTCCAAATTTAAGGCCTTGAAAATCCTTAAAAATGACAAATAATCCTTAAATACAGTTTCCAAAGGTCTTAAATTACCAAAGACCCAATAAACTAGATTAGTTTATTTGACATTTTCGTGAATTTCAGCGTTTTTTGTGTACGATGTTGGCGTAAGCGGAACCGTACACATTCAGTTGGTTGTGAAAGGGGGCTGTTTTTAGATGAGCACATTAGCTGGTTAAGCTAGTGGGAGCTTGCGCCATGGGGAAGCGCAAGTTTAATGGTAACTGGATGGCTAATCCCACGTTCGCGACGTGGTTAGCACCGGTTCCAGGCAATAGCTGGAAATTATAGCTTAAAATTCATTTTAAAAATAGCTTAAATTTGGATCCGGATCGAAAGGAGTCAGTTGAGGTGGTTTGGGCATCTGGTCAGGATGCCTCCTGGACGCCTCCCTGGGGAGGTGTTTCGGGCATGTCCTGCCGGCAGGAGGCCCCCGGGTCGACCCAGGACACGTTGGAGAGGTTACATCTCCAATCTGGTCCGGGAACGCCTTGGGGTCCTGCCGGAGGAGCTGGTGGAGGTGGCCGGGGAGAGGACGGCCTGGAGCTCCCTAGTTGGGATGCTGCCCCCATGACCCGGACCCGGATAAGCGGAGGAAGACGACGACAAGCTTAAATTTGGTCAAAGTGGCCTTAAAAAAGGTCTTAAAAAGTCTTAAATTTGGCTCCCTTAAACCTGCAGATACCCTGAACCAGATAATTGCGAGATCACGCGTGATTTCGTCTGTTCACGCCACAAAAAACAAGGGGAAAGCCGGCAGCGTGAATCCAGGAAGGTCTGGTTTATTTTCTGTTGATCTCTAGTTAAGCGCGCATCTTATTTTGAAGGTTTCTGGGTGTTTTACACCACTTCTGTGTTTAACTTCCTGTCTGGCCCGATCCGAACTGGTGAGCTTGACGTGTTCTAAAAGCGTAACACGTAAAAAGTGCAAATTTGGCAGAGCAACATGTTACGCTTCTGGGATGCGCCACTTTGTATTCGGAGGAAACGCACCCATTCATTGCGGTGGAGGTTCACGCTGCACGGGCGTTACGCCACGCTTACTCATCCGTGGAAAGTCGGGGTGAGCATAGGTGGTAAAACAGCTCCCTGAACCGCTAGAAGCACCTCTAGCTCAGAGCGAAGGACTGATGGGTTAAAGCGGCTCCTCTGTGTCAGGTGGTTGGAGATCTCATGTTGAGGATCCAGCGTATCCCAGACTTCACACCCAAACTGCTGCTGGTGCGGAAGCGGTTACTGGGCCTGGAGCCAGAGGGCATCACGTACGTACCCCCGCCCGGAGCGGTTTGTGTTGGTGTGTTCCCGGGAGCTTACCTTTGACCTTCTCCTGCAGCGTCGACCACACAACGCTGCTGGAGGGAGTCATCGTGCTGGAGGAGTTCTGCAAAGAGCTGGCCGCCGTCGCCTTCGTCAAATATCACGCCGCCGCTGCGTCTTCCTCGCCCTAGCCTTCCTGCTCTCCTCCCATCTGGGCCTTCGGGGGTTACTGGTGGAACTGGTCTGACCAGTAACTGACGTGTTTCATCGTTCCCCTCCTCAGATCTCCTGGGCTCCACTTTCAGAAGTTTGTCTCGCTCCGGCAGACGAGGATGGTGGTGGATGTGCAGAGAGACGCTCACTAGACTATTACTCACTTCCCCCCCACCTCTTTCTATTTCCGTGTGTGTGTGTGTGTGTGTGTGTGTGTGTGTGTGTGTGTGTGTGTGTGTGTGTGTGTGTGTGTGTGTGTGTGTGTGTGTGTGTGTGTGTGTGTGTGTTATGTTACAAAGTCATTGTAGTTTCCAGATGTTTGTATTTATTTTCTGTCCATCGCCTTAACGTGACGTCACCTTCCGTCATTTTGTCTGAGGATGAGAATCTGCGCATGCACACACACACACACACACACACACGTACGTCTGCTCTTTTAAATGCCAAGTTGTTTATTTTCATGTTGCCTTTTTAACTCCCGTTTTCAGATGGAAGAGGAAACTAGTTCATTTCAGCAACCGAACAGATTCTTGTCTCTGATTTGGCTTTGAGACTCGTTCGTCACCCAAAGACGCGTTCAGCTGAACAAAACCCAGAGTTTGCACCTGAACGTCATCGCACTGCACTTGGTTATTAATATTAGAGGGTTAATGTCAGTAATTTATTTGTGCTCTTTAAGGAAATAATCAGAAAATGTTTTTTTTGGGGGGGGGGATGTGCTAGAAAGCAGCTTTTCTGTCAGAAAAAGCTGAAAAAAGAACATTTCTCCAGATTTTCATCAAAAAGCTTCCTGACGTCTGCTCAGGTGTTGCTTTTACCTGCAGTATTACGTCTGAGGGAGGAAACGTCCTCGTGGTGCTGCCACGTCTTCAGCTGTTGGAAAGATGCTACTTGACATTTTTTTGTTGTGTGAACTCTCCTGGCCCCGCCCACTCTTAGCACCTGCAGTCACCTGCATGGGCTCAGATTTGCACATCTTGTAAATTCATTTTCCTCAAATGTTTTTTCATAAACCAAAAAAGAAAAAAAATCCTGGAAATGCCAGGATTTGTGTTTTAATCATGCACATTTTTATGACCTATTTCGGAGCTCTTTCATATATTTGTATATTATATGTGTACAATAGCAACAGGGTTCTGCTAGCTGGTGTAAATGCATGCTTGTACATCATTTTTTATTGTTGAAACAGGTGAAAAGGCAGATGTGAGATTTCAGACAGAGATGAGGCCTTATTAAACACTCTGGCTCTCCGAGTGAAAACGTTGTCCCTTTCGTTTGTGAAGTCGTACGAAGTTGAGCTGAAGCGGCGCAGGCAGACCGCCTCCGAGGCTGGATTGTAGACTTAAGGCAGGAACGTCCAAATTAATCACAAGTCATCTTCAGGTTTGGTTTCAAACATCTGTTACTCAGCAGAAGATGTGATCATTCTTCAGTTTTTGTCTTGTTTATTTAAAAAATGTCTACAATAAAACAAAAATACACAAAATAATTTCTCTCAATGGCAAAGATGAAAACCACAAGTTCTGTTCAATCTTCCAAAATAAACATTTCTCAAAAGCCACCAGATAATACACGTGAATGTCTGTAACATGTCACTTCTCGTTCTCCACGAAACGGCCCCGGAGCACGGCGGGATACCGGAACGCCGTCCTACATCCACGGATACATTCTGCTTCACTCAGACGAGGAAACGTCCTCTCTGGGTTCAGCGAAGGGTTGTGTGAGCTGCTTTGGAGGCACTGCGGTGCAGAAAAGAGGCGCTCGGTCTGATCGTTACCGAGTCAGTCCAGGTCCTGAAGGAGTTTAAAGCACCTTTTGTCACATTTACTAATTGAAAGATTCTTGTTCTTACATAGAAACCAATCTGAAGTTCTACCACACTCATTAAGTGCTTCTACATCTGCAGGACAGAAAAACTGTTGGCTAAAGGAATATTTTGGCCATGTTGAAGTGTAGAATGTATAATTTTTATAAATATTTATTATACCTATTGCAGATCGCTTTCTGAGCAGCCTTACATCAGAGAAACGGCGTGTGTTCATCAGGATTGATGAGCTAAAGGCTAGACTGATGACAGTGAGTTGCTGCCTTCTTAAAACGGACGTTTCAGGGAAGTCCGTGCAACGTTCATTACCGTAATGGTGGTTTACCCTCCTATTATCCTAAAATACTACTAACGTATTATCCTTAGGGTCAAATTGGCCCCAAACGTGACAGGAGGGTAATCAGAAGTAAAAATCAGACCGACTTCTGGTGCATTCAGGGTCCAGTCTGGTAGGATATTCATACAAGTTCTATCAAAACGATGTTTTATGATGGCTGGAACTCACTTTGGACGCAGGTTCCTTCAGAATGAGTCAATCTGAGATACTTTTAGGTGGTTTCTTAAAAACGGCTCAAATCTAAATTACACACGAGCCTCGGGTGCGTCGAATGTGCAAATAAACCACCGCATGTTGGTAAAGTTCACAAAACGTTTGCATGAACTGAGAAGAGCCGCTTTAAGACGATGGCAGCGACGTTCAAACTAGCCGTTAGCCCATCGGTCCTGTTGCATGAGGCTTCCCAAAGTCAGTGTGAGGTTGAGGATATCCAGGAATCAAACTGGAAATAACTAGTTTACTACAACAGGAGTAAAAACAAAAATAGCATGCCATTAATTTACCTTTTATGCTCATGCAGCAACATTTACATTCACAAATCTTTGATAGTTGAGCCAGAAGCTGAAAAGTTTGGGAACCACCTACTAGAACAAAAGCCATTTCTCCAAACAGAGGCTGTTCTGATGTCATTTTTTTAACTTTTCACTTAAAAAAAAAAACAACTTCAAAATGTCTAAATCTGTCCACAATTGAAATAAAAACCTGTGTGATTCCTAGATGAGGACTTTGTTTCAGGAGATCGGCGATATTCTCGTTTCTGTTCACAAACATTAAACTAAACGTTCCATCAGATTGTCACGGTTTAAACAGAGGGCCAGATTTCTGACGCGCTGATTGAAAAGACGACTTCTGCCCTGAAATCTTCCTCGTTCCAATAAAAGATTCGAACAGCAGTAAGATGTGATGTCACGACCCAGCTACATGATTTAGAAACAATAATAATAAAAAGACATCCAGCATTCTTTCTCCGCCTTGTAGTGAAAGCTCCCAAACAGTGTGACAGAATACAAACATATGATGGTGCGTTAAATTAATTTACAGTGTTATGTAAATAATTATATTTCTTATGCAAATCACTTTCATGTACATAAAAAAACACTACGTAAAAAATAACTACATGCCGACGCACAAACCCAACGCGCTAAAAGTACAGGTCGACCGTTTTTATTTGTTTTTTTGGGGAAAAAAATATTATTTACAGTTCAATTTATCGTTTTCAGCTTCTCTGCTCGTTTACAAAACCGTGATCCGCGTTCACGGACATGTGCACAAACCGCTCACACTGGAACATTCAGACAAACAAGTGTCTCTTTGGCTGGTGTGAAGCTGCGGCACCTCGCAACGTTTTCATCTCCGAACGACAAAAAAAAAACGCACACGCAAAAATAACACCGTCTAACCGCACAGAAACCGGCTCAAATGATAGCTATCGCAATAACTTTCCTATGCATTTGCATATTATATATATATTATATATATATATATATATATATATATGTATATATATATATATATATATATATATATATATATATATATATATATATATATACATACACAATATATATATATATATTGTATATATATATAATATATATAATCTATATATATAGTATATATATATACACAATATATATATAATATATATATATAATATATATATACAATATATATATATATATTGTATATATATAATATATATATATATATATTATATATATACACATACACAATATATATATATATATATATATACACATACACAATATATATATATATATTGTATATATATATAATATATATATAATATATATAATCTATATATATACACAATATATATAATATATATATATATATAATATATATATACAATATATATATATATATAATATATATATACAATATATATATATTGTATATATATAATCTATATATATATAGATTATATATATATATATTGTGTATATATATATATAATCTATATATATATATATATACACAATATATATATATATATATGTGTGTGTGTGTGTGTGTGTGTGCGGTTCTGCCACACATTTGCCCTTTGTTGTGTCACTATGTCTGTAAAAGTCACATTCAGAAGAGTGATGGTAAATTTTGTTGGAAGGCATCACAATAAATAGAGATGGAGGTGTGTGTGTGTGTGTGTGTGTGTGTGTGTGTGTGAGAGAGAGAGTCCCTGGGTCTGCAGAGTGTAACAGCTCCTGCCGTGGATCAGTCGCTCTTCGAGCTCTGCGCGGCGTCCAGGTTCACCACCTGCAGCTCCGTCAGGTTACTGCTGCTGCCGCTCGACTGCTGGCCAATCACCATCTGCAGAACAACACGACGCCGCGTCAGGAGACGGCACACCAGGCACCCAATCACACGCCGCCACATCCAAAATGCAAAAACAACAAAAGCTTGCTGATGTTTATGTTCAAATTAAATATTCAAACTGCTCAAAACCAGGAAACTGGCTCAGAAAACACGTTCTAATGTTCATGCTTTGCTACTGTGGCGTTTCATCAAACTTGTGGCCCGTGTGCCAGTGCTCTGTTAGGATGCATCAGTGCGCTCAGTGTGGCATGCTGGTTGCAGAGGGAATATGAGAGTTTCACTTGTAAAATGCAGCTCTTGCCGTACTGGGTGTAGCTGCACCGCTGAGACGGGGATGTGCACCGTGCCTTGAGGTGCAGTGAGGAACACCTGAGGGACAGCGCCTGAGGAAAGGAAAACATAAATGACAATAACCTGATGAGCCTTTAGTTAAAGCGCAAACTAAGAAGCATAAAGCTAAAGATATGATTTAACATGAGTACAAGATGTGGAGTTCACATTTTAAAGATGTCTTAGAACAAGGTTTTTCTAGAACAGCAGATCGCTCTCCAAGCCTATCATGGGTTTCATATCTGGTACCGCTCGGCCCGCATTGCATATATCGTTTTCCTACCTGGTGGCCTGGTACTTTTCCCTCTCCTACCGGGTGGTTTTTCAGCCCCAGTGGTCCGCTGGCCCGGCCCAACACGCCCACTAAGACTGATCAGCCGGCTCTTTATCACCTCTGACCAAAGCTGCCAGTTCCTCACTGCTGACCCCCCCCCCCCAACTTCCTGGTTCGGAGTCTGGCAAAAAGCCATAAAACTGAGCAAAATTTCCAGCAACATCATTCTGCTACCGAGTTGTGTTTCTGTGTAGCACACAGACCACTTTACACGGTTTACTCATCACCCAGTAAAGACCGCTCCCCCCACCCCCACAGACTTCTCCACACACCTGCTCATGACCGGACTCGTCCACGCGTCTTTTTCCACGCCCATGTGCTCAGAGATTTCCCTGTTCCCGGGAAGTGTGTGTGAACAAACCCAACTGGTGGGGGACCCGGACCGACACCGGTCCAGTCTGTGCGAAATGTAATATCTGAAACTTTGTGTGTGTGCGCGTCGAACGTACTCTGTGCTCAGACACTCTTCTTTGTTGTTGTTTTCCTCTAGTCTCACAAGAACTTTAGCGGTAGCTGGGGCTAGCATTAGCAGTAGCTTGAGCTAGCATTAGCTCTGGCCAGTGTTAACAGTAGCTTGGGCTAGCATTAGCAGTAGCTCTGGCCAGTGTTAACAGTAGCTTGGGCTAGCATTAGCAGTAGCTTGGGCTAGCATTAGCAGTAGCTCTGGCCAGCGTTAACAGTAGCTTGGGCTAGCATTAGCAGTAGCTCTGGCCAGTGTTAACAGTAGCTTGGGCTAGCATTAGCAGTAGCTTGGGCTAGCATTAGCAGTAGCTCTGGCCAGTGTTAACAGTAGCTTGGGCTAGCATTAGCAGTAGCTTGGGCTAGCATTAGCAGTAGCTCTGGCCAGCGTTAACAGTAGCTCGGGCTAGCATTAGCAGTAGCTCTGGCCAGCGTTAGCAGATTTTGCTAGCGTTGTTCTGCATTTAGCTTTACTGCCATCACGTTTATGTATTGCTGAAAGTGGGTTGGGACATGCTAATTTAAAAGGGCATGTCTTGTTTCTCACGTGTTAAACCAGCTTCTCTCAGATTGAACCGTTTTTCCGTGACCACAACACTATTAATAGGAAAGCAGGTTGGAGGCACACGGACTTTTTGCTACATTAGACACGCTAAATGTGTGTGGCTTTACACTCTAGTGCACCTTTTAAGAGGCTGCAGACAGATTTACACCAGCAGATGGCAGAGATGAGCCATTTAGTGATGATAAAACTCACATGATGATAACTTATGAGGCCAAAATTACTTTAGTCCAACTAAAGCTGATATGGACAAACATGTTTTAATACAATTTACCGTTGTTAAATAAAAAGTATAAAACTTATTTATAGTTCTGCCATCTTGAAATGTCGACGCCCAAGCTTAAATTGGTTGTAGGCGTTCTGAGTTTCATTAAAATATAAATAGATGTACGCATCTCACCCGCGTCCTGGCTGTGCGAGTGGGACACCTGCATGGCCGAGGTCCCCTGGGAGAAGGCGTTGAGCACGGCCAGTCCTCCATCGCCCAGTGTGGGCGTGGAGGCGTACATCACCGTGTGAGGGCTGGGGTACATCATGTGACCCGCCACAGACGTAGGCACTGACGAACTGACTATGGTTGCTGGGAGACTCACCGTTGCTGAAGGAAGAGAAGGAGGGAGGTAGATTGTACACATGTTGTCCAGCAGAGGGCGCCTGATGTTTAAATTCAGCTCCTGGTTCATCTAAACAGACTTCCTGTCATGTTATGTGTCCTTTCCACCAAATGACTGATGCACACTTGGAACATTTGGTGCTTTCTGCACATTTAAAGCTACAAAAACGTGAAGGGAGTCCTGAGAGAGAAACGGGACCCACCGGTGGAGTTTGTGGAGGTGTGGGAGATTTCTGGACTGCTGTCACTGTTGGGGGTAGACTGCGCATTGGGATGGACCTGGATTGCCTGGAGCTGCTGTGGACCTCCTGTTCCTGAGGACACAGAAGGGCCAATGGGTGGGGGTATAAAGCCACTGTACATCAAATTCATCTCAATCAGGAAACAGCGGGAGAAAGGTGACAGATCATAGAAAAGGCTTTCATGCGGCCAGTATTAGTGATGTAGAGTCAGCTCAGAGGCACGGTGGAGGTGTGTTAGTGATTCGTGAAAGCAGGTGGAGTGGTGGCAGCATGCGGAGCAGATCACCTGTGAGGGAGACAGCGGCAGGGAAGCGGAAGACAGCCTGCTGTCCCTGCTGTGGCTGTGGGGCGGCAGCCAGGGTCTGACCATGCTGCCCCTGGAGGGCCAGGGAGTGCTGCTGCAGCTGGCTCAGAGGAATGGTGGGGGTGCCGGGGGGTAGAGGAGTGCCTGCTGCAGGGGGGGGGGCACGCACACACAAACACACATGGGGTTTGAGCTAAATGAGGCAGTTTTTAAACACAAACATGGACATAAAGACATCATCTTCTGCTCTTTGCAACCACCAGACACAAATCCTGGTTTCAGCAGGTTTTCAGGTCAAAGCCGGATAAGCAGCAGGACCGCCCGGCACCGCTGACTTCCAAATAAGGAGCCGATCTTCAGTCTGTCACCAATATATTTATATTATTTTTTTTGCCAGAGTTTCTTCTGCTAATAAAACTCTGAAATGTGGGAGCGCAGCGCGCCAAAACGTTCTCTACAGGAACAGACGAGTCCTCCTGATCCCAGCGTCGGGGAACTGAATCTTTGTTTGTGTTAGCAACAACATCCGAGTACAACAGGGAAAATCATGAGGCCACCTCTACAAGATAAGCAATGAAATGACCAATCACCATCAAGATTTGTTCTGGTTTTAACATCTGGACCCTATGATAAAAGCTTGTTTAAACTTAATTCAGCCACATCTAAGGGTTTAACAGCATGAACGGCCTGATAAGGTCAAAGGTCGGACGTTCTTTAGGATGTTCTGTTAGACAGCAGAATTCCTGGGTCCATCACAGCAGGTGGTCCAGGTCCTGCAGGATCATGTTGTTGTGCTCATTAAGTTGTTTTTGGCCGGAAGACATTTTGGCGTTGGAATTCTCCCATGATGCTCTTTATGCCACCCCTTCTCTTTCTTACTGGCGAAACGTGACCTCCGACCTTTAACCAGGTGAGGGCACCAGATGTTCTGGGTTCTTTTGTTGTTGGATTCCTTTCCGATGATGCACGACGTGTTGCTTTTTGAGATCAGTGACTTCTTGTTGACGCGTGTCACATTAAATGTCTCGAGATCAGGCTTGTTTGGCAAACGTTCTTACGATAAATCAATTCATCATTTGAAAACTACATTTTGTATTTATTTGGGTAATTTTGTCCGTATTTGCTTATCTGAATCATTTAAATGTGGCTGAATTACGTGTTTTAACAATGATGAAATGTCCCTTTAATCGAGGCACGGCAGAAAGACTCATTCCTAATAAAAGTGATTTTTTATCCTTAATTCAGGAGAAAATTCCCTATTTCATTAATATGCATGCAGACTCTCAATAATAACTTTATTGGCACAATGTGCTGAGTGACATCACAAATTAGCCTGAAAAGATTGTGACTCAACTCATGTTGTCACACACACACACACACACACACACACACACACACACTTGCTGGTGTCCTTCAAAGCCTCGTTTACTGCGGGAAACCTCGGCGCTCCGATGAAAATGTTCAGTTTGGTTTAAAATCTGCAGAAGTCGGCTCCTTTCAGGATTTCACGAGTCACACCCTTACTGGTCTCCACGGGCAGCTGCTGCAGTGGGGCGGGCCGCACTTTTAAAGCTGCCAACTGTGGTGCTTTTACTGTTGGGGGGTGGGGGGGAGGGAGGGTTGTTCCACCTGGCACTGCTGCTATGTGCCAGACAGGTGGTGGAGCAGAGAGAGAGAGAGAAAGAGCGAGTGCAAGCTGGGCGAAGGGAAAGGCAAGAATGCCCCCCCCCCAAAGAGAAACAGCAGAGACAGAAGCTGTCAGAGTGACATACGTAACCCATTAGAGGGCACCATGTGCCCGCTCTCTCAGCTGTGACAGGAATTATGACACAGCACAGAACCGGTCAGACCAACAGAACCTCCGCTAGACTCCAATATTTCTCACTTCTTCAGCGATTCTGCGACATCCTGCCGCGTGTACCCCCAATAAACTCAACATCTCTCTAAAATCACAACACCAAGGTCAGGGTTTTATGAAGCAGAACTCGCCGACTTTGGACAATTTTAATGCACGAATGTTTATTATTTTACATGCTGCAGATGAGCTTCCTGGACGGATGGAAGAGATCTACATCTAATGGGAAAATTGAGCTGGCAGCCAATTAGAATGTAGCTCCTACGGACGCGTGAGCGGCGTGCAACCGGGAGCGAAAGTGTTCCTCACAGTTGGTCCCGCGAGGTCACAAAATCACAGGAGAGCACAGCAGCATGGATCCAAAAGGTGTGTGGTTTATACCTCAGATGCAGAGGTTTCACAGGAAATGACGTACGTTTAACAGGACGTGACTTTTATTTTGAAAGCTTCCAGATGGGTTACACTGCTTTCGTGTTTGACTTCCTGTTTGGACTGATCTGAACTTGGACGTATTCTTGAAGGGTAGCACGTAAAAAATGGACTCAAAACGTGAGCAACGTGTCCTGGGATGTCTCCAAATCACGTTCAGTGGAAAGGACGCCATCCACGATAACGACGGCCAGTTGCAGCGAAGTACGCTTTGCGGCCGTTTTGCTTCTTGTGGAAAGTAGGGGTCATGTAGGGATGTTCCGAGCACATTTAGTTTTGCTCCCGATCTGATTCAAAGTCATTTGATTTTGAGTATCTGTCAATATCAAGTCCTGATTAGACACTTCAGCAAAGCTTTAAAATAATAAGAGAAAGGGCGAACACATCCAAGTCTTTCCTTTATTTTTTTATTATTATTATTATTATTTAGGTATTTCCTTCTTTCCGTATTTATGCAATTTCTTTAGTTTATCCCAAAATGCCAGAAAACATCTCTCGTTTAGAAAATAAAATCCAGTTAATATTATGAATATATTTAAAAGTGGCGTTCTCATCATGAGGCTGTGATGCGCGTTCCCGTGCACACGGCGCCACGGCCAGCCTTTTATCTGCATAACATCAGTAGTTGTCGGCACCACAGACATCATATACAGATGCTGCGTTCCTCGGAAGTTTCCGAGCAGAAAATGACGTAACGGGCTTGTTTAGCGTTGCAGCTTCCAACTCGGAAAAAATGGACGCCACCAGTGTTCAGTAATAAACCAGAAGTAGGGCTGGGCGATGTGGCCTAAAATCAACACGATATATTGAGGATTTCAACTCGATAACGATAAATGGATGATAACTGTGCGCAGAAATGAAAGTTGTCCACTAGATGGCGCTGTCACGTGTTACGTTGAGTCGTACAGCTTCTTAAAGGGACATGAACGCTGCCAACTTACACACATTTTTTTTAAATTATCAAATTTATTGACATGGGAAAAAAGGTCATGATAAGAGTCAGAAACTTCGATAACGATCAATTTTCGATTTATTGCCCAGCCCTATAACAAAGTATTCTCCGCACCTAAATAATAGCGACATGCACGCCCTTCGAGAGTTTCCACATACAAACAGAAAAACATTACAAATCAAATGTAAAAATATAAACGCCAGAAAAAGTTAAAAAGTTAGTAATTATGAAAAGGAGAATTATAATGTCAAAGATTAGACGTGAAAATATTAGAAAGTGACTGAGGTTATATTGTGTTTGTTTGGCGGATAATTTTATTTCGTAAAAAGGGGCAGAAATCATAAGATTTTTTCTTCTATCTGCTCCTTTTCATTCAAATGTTTTTTTTTTCCATATGTTAATGTATCCTGTATTTGTTTGTGTTTATTTTATACATTGTGAATGAAATAAAAGATAAAAAAAATAAATAAAAACATGAACAACGGTCAATTTAGGCGACAATGTTAAAATTTTCAACAACGCAACTATTAATAACAATAAACAACTTACCGGTGCTGTCAAATAGCAAAACGAAAGAAAACAGAACATATAAATGAGAAAAAAATAAAGATAACTACTTCCTGGTAGCACTGGGCGCAGTCATCTTTAAATTTGGGATCGCTGGGTCCTCTGAAACCCACGAGCTCGCAGCTCAGAATTCCAAGTTCATTGCGCCATTTCCAGGTTAAGTTATCTTGGTAAAAAGCGTTCCGAGGACAACTGGAACGCACCAACAGACGTGACGTGGACTGAGGTACCATACTGGATGGGTCTCCAATCACCCCCAGTGCGTTTATTTCTACTGAAGAAGATGATTACTCAACTACAAAACACATTTTATTATCAGACATATGGTATGGCATGATAATTAAAATGTTGGGTTTGGAGAGGGAGAAAAACACCCAATATGGCGGCGACACTGTTTTGCTATCCAGCACCCAATGTCGCTTCTACGTATTTATGTCTATGATTACTGCAGAATAAGAATTCCTGACGTTTTGCTGTCCGTCTGTAACTCCTGTGTTTATTAACGTGTCTTTCACTGACGGCTGACTCCGCGTTTCTGTTAGAGATGCCGCTGTGAACTGGGACTTAACGAAGACTACCGACTCGCTGTGGCGACGCCAGACGCAAAATAAGCCAAAGGAGACCCGAAAAACAAAGTAGTTCGTTTTGAAGGCAGCTTATCATGCAGCCGTCTTTTCTAGCATGTTCAACGCCCAGTTTGCACACAGTAAAAGTGACTGTCTGCTTTAAAAAAACAAACAGACATTTTAGCTCCTCTGTGGGGACACATTAGCCATGCGTTAGCCTACTAGCTAACAGCAGCATGTTACGGTGTCTGAATGCTCGCCTGCTGTAATTTGTGTGAGGTAATGGTGTTGTTTCATTCCAAGAAATAAAGAATACTCGTGTAGAGGAACTTGAGATTCAAACTTAGCCATTGTTGTTCTGTTTGAAAATCTCCATCTCAGGGTTAATTTAAAAACAGGGTATCTGCAGGTTTAAGGGAGCCAAATTTAAGACTTTTTAAGACCTTTTTTAAGGCCACTTTGACCAAATTTAAGCTATTTTTTAAATTTAATTTAAGCTATAATTTCCAGCTATTGCCTGGAACCGGTGCTAACCACGTCGCGAACGTGGGACTAGCCATCCAGTTACCATTAAACTTGCCCTTCCCCATGGCGCAAGCACCCACTAGCTTAACCAGCTAACATGCTCATCTAAAGATAGCCCCTTATCACAACCAACTGAATGTGTACGGTTCCGCTTACGGCAACATCGTACACAAAAAATGCTGAACTCCAACTAGGAATTCATGAAAATTTTATAGAAATAAAATAATCTTGTTTAGTGGGCCGTTGGTAATTTAAGACCTTTGGAAACTGTATTTAAGGATTATTTGTCATTTTTAAGGATTTTTAAGACCTTAAATTTGGAAAAGCCAATTTAAGACTTTTTAAGGATCGCGGATACCCTGTAAAAGGTCATATTTGTAGTTTTATGTTATGCTGTTGTCAGCTTCACATCACAGAATTCATATGTAATTCTTATTTTTTTTACATGTGTAAATATTGCAGTGCTTCAGGAGTCAAGTTTAACAGAAACCTGTGAAGTTTTCACATGAAATAGTGAATCATAGATGGTGAAGTAAAGGGTTAACTGCTGTGAAGTTTTAGAGGCTGGAGCCACTTAAAGGGAGCACAACGCCTGGCAGCAACACACTTTGGTCTTGGATGCTCTCGCACTAGCCATTAGCAATTTCTCCAAACAGAGGATGTTCAGGACGTTTTCTACAGAGTGAAACACGAATAGTTGTATTCTTTACCGTCTGTACCAAGTGGGGATCCCCTTAATAAACGAGTCTAGCTCAGGAAACAGAAGATCCGACTCAACAAAATACGCCTCAATTATAATTTCAGCACAAGCCGCTGACCCTTCGTTGCATATTCATGAGTAATTATGGGTCTTGTTCATCAGCCCTCTTTGCAGCTCCATCGTGTCGCCTCTCATCTAATTATTTGTTTGGGAAGTGACAATCAAAGGCCGGGCCAGTTGCCAACAGACGTGGCTCCCCTGGATACTGCGGCCTTTGAAAAAACCCAAGAGCTCCAAGCGTCGGTGGCTGTTTTTGAAGAGCTACTGCGTGATGTAGACAGCGAGGGGTGAGGTCACGCTGCGATGCCATTTAAATTTTAATCAGCTAATAAGCTCTAGAGCACAGTGGCATTAAAATAAATGAAGTGACTCAGTGAAGAAAACTGTAAAGGAAAGCAGAACAAACGTACCGGGCATGAAGGTGAAGCCGCTGGGCAGCTGCATTACGCCCGTGGAGGCGCCGGCGGTCTTCAGGACAGTTCCGTTTGCGCTGATATTGCTGCTGGCCGAGACGGGGGCCAGGTAGTTGGTGATGGGAAATGAGGCTCCGCTGCTTGCCTGCATGGTGGTGGAGGTGGTGGGTACCGTGGGCTGGGCGCTGCTCGTGGTGCCCGGTAGGCTGGCTACTGTGAATGTCGGTTTCAGGGTGTCCTGCGGGAGAAACCAAACATGAATCTAGTCGGGGGGGTTTGGTGTGAGTTTAAGGGCTGATTTCTGTTCACTTCTGATTCAAAAGTAGTCAAATGGTCCACGTAGCAAGCTTTAAGTTGTTCGGCATGGTTGGTAAATCCTGTATTTATAACTCCTTCTTAGGGTTGTGCAACCCCCCCCCCCCCCAAGGTGGTCCACAGCACAATCAGCCATTCACCCATTCACACACACTGGTGATTAAAGGTTGGTTTATGCTTGACGCGTCCGCGAGGTCCGCACGGCTCCGCGCGGAAAAGTTGCATCATTTTAACAACCACGTCCCTCCGCCGCGCCTCCGCACGGCCCAGAATTTCCGCAACGCGCACCTCTGAAAATTTCTAACCACGCAGACGGTCGGACGCGGAAAAACATGGCGGACCGGCAAGAACTAGTACGGCAGAGGTTGGTAAATACAGACATTTGTATGATTCAGCTCTCAAAGATCACCGTGATCAACATGTTAATAATTCTTGGAGAGAAATAGCACGCACTGTCGGAAAAGATGAGAACGCTGTTAAAAATGCTGGGATGCCATGTTGTAAACAGTAATTTCTACTTCTACTATGGTGTAGTGTTGGATGCATGCCGTAGAGCTCCATGCTGCCCCCTACAGTTTGGGAGAATATTGTCTCACCGCAGAGACGAGCCACACGAACCATAAAACGCTGCGAGTTGTGAAGCGCGTTCCAGCCGCGAGCCGCATCACCGCGCGGAAAGTGAATGCGTCAAGCATAAACCAAGCTTCAGAGCTACATTGTAGCCACAGCTGACGTGGGGAGTTCCGACGATGACATGGTGAAGGTTGTGATCATGCAGAAAGAGACCCAAAAAGAGGCAGCTGGGTAGATCTGTCCGTGGCGCGTGGGCGGGGAGAACTCTTCTGAATGTGACGGCCATTTTGAATTTGGTAAATTTGAACCAATTGATTCCATTGAAAGTTTAAAATTTACAACTTTTACGTGATTTCTACCCAACAATGCACCACATCACGACACCATTTCTAACAATGCTGATGTTATTTGCCAACAGGTGGTAATGGGCGACGGTGGCACAGGAGTTAAGTGCTCGCCCCGTAATCGGAAGGTTGCAGGTTCGAGCCCCGCTCAGCCTGTTGCTGTCGTTGACACAACCCACCTCGCCTACTGGAGGCGCTCGGAGGGACCGGCCTCTGTCAAATCACCGACAGCTGTGGCTACAATGTAGCTCATCACCACCAGCGTGTGAATGTGTGGGTCTGGTTGGGTTGTAAAGCACCTTGGGGGGTTCCAGGACTCTAGAAGGCGCTATATCAAATACAGGCCCTGCACCACTTAATGATGCCAATTTAAGTCCCCATCTGGTATTTAAGGTTTAAGACAGCCGTGTTCACAGAACAAAGCTGGTGAACTATGATCGCAGACCACCATCAGACAGGAAGTGATGAGGCTTAGACTGTGTCACGTCAAAAACAGACCGGGTGGACACAACCAAACATTTCTAGGACTTAAACAGCGGTTTCAGGCACGTTGATCTCGCAATGCAGCCTCTCCAAAAGCAACCTCACTTTCACAACATCGCCTAAAAAACAAAACGGGACTTCCGCTCTTTGAACCGATAAGAGTGGGTGGTAGAAGGATCCAGGGCCTGCTGACGGGGACCAGAGCCGGTTTAACAGTTCCAATCCAAATGACCTGAACAATTTAGAAAAACCAGCCGGGACCGCTTCAGTTGCACCTACATGCAAAAAGAGCATTTTCATCAAGTAGCATTTCTCTGAACAAATTACGTCCAAATGAACGTCTGAAAATGGCCGTTTGATGTGTTTGCATGAAACCCAAACACAAGCAGGGATTAATTACAGAACAAGGCAGCGACCCAAAATGCTCCTTAATGCCTTAAGAGATCTCGCCTCATCACGGTGCACCGTCTCCCAAACGCTCAGCTTCATTCATTCATCCTGCAATTAAAACCCAGATGCTGCTTGATCCGACTGCTCAGAACAACAACAAATGCATCGCCGTGTCGCTTATTTTGCTGGGTTACCATGACAACTAGCTGGCCGCAGGAAAAAGGCAAAGGAATAAGGCAGATGATCAAAAGAAGGGGGGATGTAACATCACACCATGCGCTAATGCGCACATCCACTGAACAGCCGAGCAGGATGTGTTGGTGAGTGGGCCGCATGATGGCAGCGGAGTGGGCGTCAGGCCGAGAGTATGAAGAACACCCAAACCTTCCATAGCAGGGTCTATGCACGTACGCCAACACTTCACACCATACTAATGAGCTGCACCAGCAGGATGGGACCAGGTCTCCATGTCAGGAGCCATTTAGGAGTTTCTAGGTGGATTCAGGGGAATCCAAAGTTAGAGCAACGCAATGTTCACGCGGTAGTCACGTCCAGCTGCGATGCCGGAAACACGACGTCATCTAACGTTTAAGGGATAATATGCAACTTTGTCATATTTTTCAGACATTTTCTTGAGCCAGTATGTGCTAAAATGACCTGTTACAGGGTTAATGACACGGCACCAAGACCCCACTGCCCTGTGTGGCCAGAATACCGCAGTTGCAACACCAGAGTTGCCGGGCTGCTACCTGCTGGTGGAGGGAGCTGTGGAGTGGAGTGGAGCTGACGTCAGCTTCCAGCACGTTTCCTGTACGTTTTAGATCATGAACACAGCTGAGCTGCTCGACTTACCCCGGCTTTCCACGGGAGCCGTCAGCAGCACGTCATAGCTGCTGATAGGAACCGCTGTGGTCAACAGAACCTTTTCCACCGGAGCCGTCGGCAGCCGTCAGCAGCGCGAGTCGGCCGCGTCTCAGGAGCAGCATGTCGCGGCCTTTACGCGCCGGTTCTATTTTCTACGCGCGACGCCTCTGAAACGGGTCAAGTTCGACATTTTTGGGGAAGGAAAGACAGGAAATCGGACGCGGAAATGGAGAGAAGCTACAGAGATTTTCAGAATAAAGAACGTACTGTTTTCCGGTTGCTTTACTTTTAAAAAAGGTTACTAACTGTGCGGCCCCGTGAGAAGTTATCACCTAGCTAGCGGTCTCCTTTGTTTTTCAGGTCCGTATTGGCGATTATAAAACGGACAGAACATAAAACACAAACCATGTTGTAGTTTTCTCCTGCTTGTTGTTGTGTTTACTGACGAAGTCACTCGTGTGACTTCGTGCTCGGTCGGTGACAGCTGCTCCCCTGCTGCTTCGCGTCTCGTGGGAAGGGCCAAGCAGCAGCTTACGCGAGCGAGACGTGCTGCTGCAGTAACGCGCTGCTGACGGCTCCTGTGGAAACCCGGGGTTAGTGGTAAATCACTCCTCTAGAAACTAGTGAAGACTGAGGAGACATTCCAGCAGTTAGATTAAGGTGTTAAAAAGACAAAACACACAGCAAGAAGAAGAGTTTCAGATCCATCCCCTCATGTGAGAGATCACCACTTTCTGAATTTTATTGGCCATCTGATGCGTCAGTCAACAATACACTGCAAAAAACAGGTGGGTTAGGACAAGGGCAGATTTCATTTAAGCCTAATAACCTTTAAAGCAGGTGGAGCCGACTCGTCCTGGCAAAAGCAGTGTTGGTTTTTATATGTGACTGATTACATGGGTGAGAGGTGGCGGATCGAGCTTGGACTCACTGATAAGACGTTCAACCACAAACTATCACGCAAACGTGTAAACGGAGCTACGGTAACTGACGCAGCCGCTTCTACCTCGCTGCAGTCTTGAAACTCAGAGGGTGATGTCGAGGGTTCGTGTTTTCTACGTCTGACGGGAGTGGTCAGCGTTCAGGCTGAGGTGCAGGTGCGGTTCATGATGTCATCAGAAATATCCGAGCAGTTGTTGGTCTGCAGCACAGGTCCAGACTGTTAGTCCAAGGTCCTTCACCGCTTTAGTTAAACAGCAGCTCAAGTGTCAGAGGGGGAGTGGCAAACAAAGTGCTCACAGTTGCCCCCCCCCCCCCCCCTAAACCAAAGAGGAAAACAGCATAAATTCTGTTTTACAGCCTTTAACTGCTGAGCCATCAGCTGATGATCACTAACACAGCACGACGCCGCTGTCTCACGTCTTCATGCTCACTGGAGACCCTCCCCTTTAGTGTTCGCCAAAGCTAATGAGACAAACGGGAGGAAGCGTCCCTGCAGGACATCAGAGGACAACAGACGTGTGTAGTAGGGAGGGACAGACCTGAGTGAGGTGCAGCCCGGAGGACAGACAGCTGAAGGCACAGACAGCTGGAGGGAAACCTGAGCACCTCGGAGGGGGAATTAACCCCTTCTGGGTCAGATCAGGGGGGGGGGGGGGGGGGGGGTGCAGATAAAGACATCCGACACGTTACAGATCAGATCAAATGCACCAAATGATTCTGTCCCTGTAACCAAGCGAGATGCTCAATTTTCTAGAAGAAGTGTCTCAGTGACACGACGAGGTCACCATGTCCCAGTTTTCCGCTCAGCGCCTCTCAAGGGAGAAATGAGCATCTGCTTTCTTTGTAGCCGTGTCGCCGCTGAGGCTAGAGGTGGACACGAGCTTTGGCTTCGGGAGGGCCAGCACTTCTGATGGTCTGTCTGTGACCTACATAAGAGAGCTTCCACTGACCCACTGCCTTGTTTGACCACTCGGCCACGACGGTCACCTGGTGAGTCGATCAACAGGCTGGCTTTGATTTCGCAGTGCAGAGTAAACAGACCGCCGTGGTGTGATGCTTTCAGTCAGAGTCTGTGTGAATCCTCTAAAACATCCGCTCCATCTCCACCTTCTGCTGCTCCAGACACTTTTACATCTAAAGTCACAAAAGCAGCTCCTGGTTTCTCATCTCCTCTTCAAATGTTCTCCTTTAACACACAAAAACTGAACTGTTTGCATATTACAATACTTAACGGGACTGTTTTGCCACTCTAAAGTGTGTTTTTGAGTAAAGGTCATCGTTTTCACCCAGCTAGCTGTAGATGGCTTCTTTCATCTCCAAACGGCTC